ATCATATTATAAGACTTGTTTTTTAAAAAAAAATTATCATTTATATATCGATGTAATGACTATTTTGTGGTGTGAACTATGATATTGGACTAAAATATTTTGGTTAATATGGTAATCGACCAATTAATTGGAAAAAAATAATTCAGTTCGGTTAATTTTAAATAGAAATTTCAATTTAGTTAACAATTAAAGTATTTTACAAATTTGGTTAATACGATTCAGTTATAATATTTTTTTATGTTCATTTGTTACATTAAATGAGCTTGTAGTATGTAACTTATATGAATATAAATTTTATGTATTATGAATTCAAATATCATGTTACAATGTACTTAAGCTTAGACAAAATTCACCTGCCCAAAAATGTAAACACAAAATAAAGAGGGAAAAGATCTCACCTAAACAATGACACGTGGCAGGGGAATTTAAAATAGAAACAATTATTTATGCTGAATATAGTTCATATTCAACTACCCCTAATTTATCAGATGTACAACCCACTCGGTTTCTTAGGGTCGTGGGTCCAAAACGGTAGAATATAGTAACATAATTTGTACTTCGACGATAAATTTTTTAGTTATGTGTCATAGTGTAATTAAAGTTTTTGGTGATTTGACAATAAAAAATTATAACGTGTCATGTTAAATAGTGTTTTTATCATCGATAGCTATCATTTTCTATGACAACTAATTTTGAAATATTTATTAGTGAATTCAACTTCACAGTATTTTTGGTACTACAACTATCCTTGGATAGTTGTGACAACCAATGATGGGTTCTACCTCAATTTTAAAAATGCCCTAATAAAAATGAGAGTAAATTATCAAAATAGTTCTTTAGCTATTTTGGTTTTATTTTATTTTTGGATACAATTGAGATGATTGGGGATCAATTTTTTATTTTATTTAATAATATCATTAACTATCAAATTTAGGTAATTTCATGATTGACTAAAATATATACAAATTTGAACGAAATAGTACGTTCAGAAAACTAAACTATGTAATTATTTGATAGTTAATTGGGACATTATTAGACAAAAGTGGAAGTCTATGATCAAATGAGTGAAATTATTATAGTTCACTAGTCGGAGATCATTTTTGTAAAGAAAATAATCAGTAGACTCTCAAAAAATAGGGTTGTTTCTTGTGAGATCGACTCACATATCTTAATCCATGAGGCGGGTCGGATCTAATAAAAGTCGGTCACAAAAGAATTATATATATAAATTAGTTTTTTTTTTATCCGCATTACGCGAATGGGATAATGCCTAATAATTATTTTTAAATAAGTACTTCAAAGTATATCAATGCAATATTATATAGGAGATGTTCTTGCATAGGTAATTGAATGTTGAATTTGTTTAAAGTATATAAATGCAAGATAATATATGAGAGAATGATTATAATTGTCACTAAAATAAATGTTTGCGACTTTGTAATAACGCTAGTCTAAATACTTAGTCTAAAAGCAATAGTCTAAATAAATACTACTTTTGATTTAAATTTCTCTAAGTCTTCTTAATTCTCTTTTGGGTAGCATTATCATTGTCTTCATCTTTAGTACATGTCATGTCTTCTTTTTTTTTTATTGGTAGTATGTCATGTGTAGTTAGGTTACTGGTGGTAGCATAGATGACATCATCATGCAATGAGATTATAGTGTTGAAAGTTTTAGATTTTTATTGTTGTGTATATGACTGGATCTTAGTTGTACTATGAACTCTTTATTAGACCTGGAAATTATGGACACGACCCGTTAACACGATAAGAAACCGGACACGAAAATAACGGGTTAGTGTTTAGCCTTAACGTGTCTCGGGTCGTTAACGGGTTGACCCGTTATGTTTCATGTCTTAACGGGTCAACCCGTTAAACCTATTATGAACCCGTTTAACCCGTTTAAACAAACCTGTTTTTAACCCGCTAAGAACCATTGTCATTTAGGTAAGAACCATTGTCATGAATGAGATTACAAAAGATATTATGAACATGATTAAGGATGAATTTACTACATTAGGCCAAGATCCTACACCAATTGTTGATGCTTAACAATTTGAAATTTGATTTTTTTTTTTTTTGTTCAATTTTATTCTAAAAACTAGTATGTACTCATTTAATTATGCTTTTTGGATGTTATTTTATCATTTTGTGAATGTTATGAATTGAATATTTTTTAGCTTGTTTGATGGATTGAATTGTAGGTTTTATTTTTTGTTAATATAACTTAACTTTAAATTTTAGTTTTTTAAACATATTAATTGAAATAGCGGGTTTAAATGGATTTCGTGTCGACACGACTTGAAATTAAACCTGTTAACAAAATGTGTCTATCATGTCAACCCGTTTAACCCGTTAACAAATCGTGTTCGTGTTCGTGTTAAAAATTTGAACCCGTTAACCATAACATGTCGTGTCCGTGTTTAGTCTTATCGTGTTCGTATCGTTATCATGTCGACCCGTTAACAGACCTGTATACACGAATTGCCAGGTCTACTCTTTATTTTACAAGTGCATATTGATATTTGGTAGTGGTAGTTTTTCCTTACATATGTTTCATGTGTTGTGAGATGTGTGTTATAGATTATCATGTGAAAGTATTGAACAAAATATTAATATTTATTATATTTCTATAAAATACTTAGTAAATAAATATATACCGGAGTAACATATATTTGGTATTATAACTTTGATATTTAATTACAAGATAATGTAAAAAAAAAAAAGAAGAGAATGAGCAATGTAGTGAATATAATTAATTAATGAATTTGAATTGAAGGTAAGGAATCTTTGAATTGTAGAAAATAAATATTTTTTTTGAAGGTTGTAGAAAATAAATATAATATAACTAATGAAATTATATCTCTTTTTAAATTTTTTATAATGAATAATTTTTTTTTTGAATAATGACATTATAGACATCTAATTCTAAAGTAATTAAATGCATATGGATTATTTTTTGTTGTAGCTACCAATTTATTTAATTTAATAAGAGTAATAAAGTGGCCTACATACTTTACATTAGACATCTCTTGTCGGAATAATCACCTCAAACCAATGCTGCAAAACACGTTAGGCGCCAAGGGGGCGGCTAGTGCCTAGGCGCCGATTTTTTATTTTATTTTTTAATTTTTTTAATTTAAAAAAAATTAAAATTTTTTAAAATTTAGTAATAAAACATAAGATTTCTATAGTTATTTCTTACAAACTATGTACGTAAGTGGTTGTAAAAGTGTACAAAAGATTGTTTAAACCATCTAAATACATAAAAAAAAAAAATTAAGAGCAAAAGAAGCATTTTTCGAGAAATTAGTGGACCAAACTGCCTTCGACAATTTGCAGTGGATAGATCTCGAAAAATACGCGATTTGAAAAAAAAAATTGTCCAAAACGGACAACCGAATCAAAAATTATGCCTTCCCGAACTTTACCCACTTTACAACGAAAAAAAAAACAAAAAAAACAAAAAAAAAAAAAAAAAAAAAAAAAACAACAACAACAACGCCGATTTAGCTGGCTGGCCGCGGAGGAGGCCGAGTCCGGCCTTCTTCGCGGCGGCGGCCGGGCGCCTAGGCGCGATTTTTGCAACCATGCCTCAGACACATCACCATTCACCACAACTCGATATCTAACCGTAGATACACACATCATTATCAAATCCATCCAACCATCCGCGAAACCCATACGTCACATGACCTCTTTGAGATAGGTCAATTTCATTCGATCGTACGCCTTCAACATATCCAGTTTGAGTGTTTATTACACTTTTTTAAAGTTCAAGCACCTAATTGCACTTTTGAGTAAAGTTCAGTGATCTATTTGACACTTTTCCCTATAAAATATCATTTTTTAAAAAAAAAATAAATAAACATATTCTATTGTTTGTTTTAACTTTTTATTCTCAAAAATAAGTAAAATTTACCAAACTATTTATTTACCTTTTTTTACACCAGACAACTTATCTTATAAATAATAATATTCTTAGCTCATCTCACCATTAGATGTGTTATAGGAGAAAGATACCAATGAAATTGTGGGAGAGAAACTCGCAACTACTTAGAGAATTCTATTGTATATACTGAATTTGAAAAAAAAAAATCTCATATGAAAAGTTTATACAAACTAAATTTTTTAAAATATGATTTTAAGAAATTTAATTATAGTATGTTTTATTATGTTTCAGACAAGATTATTTTGAACGATGAGAGAAATTTGCAATCTTTGATGATGTGCACTAAGAAAATCCTGTAAGGTGATTTTAGTGCATAAAGGATCATAAAAAGTAAAACACTGATGGGTTGAAATCAATCAAGTTAATACTCTTTCTGTCCCTAATTGAATGTCTCATTTGCTTTTTGTACGATTTTTAATACAATATAGCAAATGACCAAATGTTACTAATTTTTTAATTTTGCCCCTCAAATGTAGGTGTTATTTGTACAAAGTATAATTGTACTTATTTCTATAAATTTAAAAAGTTATAAGGGTAAATTGAAAAATGTAGAGTGATATAGTTATGTTCAATTTTGAAAAGATAACTAGGACAAACTGAAAAGAAAAAGAAAAGTAAGACGGATAAAATGGGACGGTGGGAGTATATTATTTGTGGGGGTGAATTTAGCTTGTACAGACAATTATTTGGCAATTTCAATCATTGGTTTCCCAATAATTCACCTCAGAGGTTTGACAATGTCATCAACATCACAAAGTGAATTCCGGAAATATATATTTATATAGGGTAAAAATTAGAGAATTCCCTTTTTCTCTGCGTCTATAAATACAGCAAGTGGATGCGAAATGCAAACTCAAAAAAGTCAGTCTTTATACCCTACATACACACTGCAACAACAATAATAATTACTTTCTGTTGCTTCTCTTCCCATCACTTCCCATTCTCACAATCCACTTTTCAAATCTGCATGAACTATATATCATCATCATCATCATCATCAACTCTGTTGGCTTTTAAGGATGTTTCTCTGATCTTCTTGTGTTTTACTCAAAGATTTTCAGCTTTTCTTTGTTGATACCCAGTAGTTACAGCAACATGCCGGAGATACACGAAGACAATAATGCCCAAATCCGATCATCTCTGTCGCAGCTCATTCTGAAGAGCGGTTCCAATAATACTCTCGACTCCATTTTCTCCCATTGCCACCAGGAACCAAACCCAAACCCTTACCCTGTTTCTCAACCTCTGGGATCCTCAGTATATCTGCGGCAGAGAGATTTGCTCCAAAAGTTCTGCGAAGAAAACAGAACAAACCCTCAAACCTGCAGTAGTCTCCCGTTCAAGAATTTCCTGTACGAGAATCCGGCGGCGGGGGGGAAGAAGAAGCTGTACAGAGGGGTGAGGCAGAGGCACTGGGGGAAATGGGTTGCGGAGATAAGACTTCCCCAGAACAGAATGAGAGTGTGGCTGGGGACTTACGACAGCGCCGAGGCGGCGGCTTATGCCTACGACACGGCGGCGTATAAGCTTCGCGGCGAGTATGCGCGGTTGAATTTCCCCGATCCCACCAGCTTGGGGTTCGGAGATAATGCGAAGCTTAACGCCGTCAAGACCGCCGTGGACGCGAAGATCCAAGCGATTCGCCAGAAGGTGAGAAGGGAGAAGGCGAAGAAGAAGGAGGCCAAGAAAAGCGGCAACGAGAGTGTGATGGCGGTTGAGTCGTCTTCTTGTTCGTTTGCCGGGAATGAGAGCTGGAGTACTGCTGAACTGATTTCTCCGAGTGTTTCTGAAGATGGGTTTTGGATGAGCGATACTTCGCCGAGCTCGGTCTCCGGCGAGTTGGCGGCGGCGGTGGCGGAGCAGACGTCGGAGATGGAGGACTGCTTCCTGGCAAGGATGCCTTCGTTTGATCCAGAGTTGATATGGGAAGTTCTGGCCAATTAATTAGCAGTTGGTGTGTTTAGTTTTTAGCAAATTAAATTAAAGAAGCTGTTGTGGCAAGTGGCAACCGTAAATGGCTAAGTTTTTGAAAATTCACCATATACTTCTCAACTTGTCATGTCCTTTATAATTAGCTTAGGACTAATCTCATTTTCTACTTTAATTATAATACCACTTTTCTTTTCTTTTCTTTTTTTTTTCTATTTTGTTTGCTCGAATTTAAAACTAAAGAGAGTTCATAGGCACGGATGGACATATTAGAGATGGACCTGAAGCAAGCCGACTTGATGAAACGTAGCAAGACAGATTCGGTTAGACCCGAATCTTCGGGATGGGGGTCGCGCTTGACCCCTGATTGCCTAGGTCGAGCCCCGTGTTCAATCTAGGCCTCGGCCGCCGGTACCAGGCGAGGGCCAGCCAAGAAGCTAGGTGTAGTCCAAGATGTTACAACTCTCCCTTTTTGGGGAACAGTTAAATAGCAATTAGTATAAATGCTCATGTAATTGTCTTGTTAAGACATCACTTATTCTCTTGTAATAGCAATTACACAATTATTAAAGCAATTTTCTTGTACTTTACAATATCATTCTTGTCTTTAATCCACTTATTCTATCATTTAATTATCAAGTTTGTTAATTCGGATCACCCGAATTAATTAAATTCATCAGACATAATTGGTCCTTCCCTTCATCAAGATTTTAATCTGAAATTCATTGAGAAAGTTTTAGAAAGAAAACTATTCACTCCTTTTTATTTATTTATTTAAGAAAAAAATGCCAATATCATTTTTTTAAAAAAATCGTATATCGGTATATGTAATCAATTCATATAATTTCGTCAATGTTGTTCTATTATTGGGGACAATGGCCATCATGTCATTTAAGAATTTATTTTGGTGTCTATTAAGATATAGTACATGAATGTCTTCAAAAACAAAACAACAACAACAACAATAATTGTAGGACTTGTTTTTTTTTTTTTTTTTTTTTTTTAAATCTTATTAAAGATTGAGATGAGAGAAATATGATGTGATCTGGGCACAGAACAGGAGAGAACATAAAGATTTAGAGCAGTAAAGAAGATTGCGAAAAGGAAGAGAGCCACAATTCCCAGATTATTATATTTGCCTCCAACATGTGATGTACACACTATTTAAGAAGCCACATGTGATGCAGAGAAAGCTAGCTGCTTCTTGTTTTGGATTCGATTTGCAGAGAGATTGATTATGGATTGTGGTCCTTTCTCTGGCTTTATGTTTTACCTACTTTCTTTTTTTCCCATACTTCTTCCCACTTATGTGTTACACCTCTACATCTTACACGTTCATGTTTAATCAATTGCAACATTACACTCAACTCTAAATCAATGACTTTTACAGTTGAGTAGTGTTGTATACTTATTATGTCAATGCTCACATCATGATGATACATACAAACTAATTTAAAATTACATTTCAACTCTATATTTCAAGAAAATTCACACTCGCTATCTGAATATACGTTCAAGGTGTGATTCTAACCATCAAAGGACTACAAATAGGTATCAATCTAGATTACAACATTGTAATTACTAAGTCGATTACCTTCTTCTCCCAAAAGGTTGAATCCTCAACCCTAAGGACCTCCACCCCCCCCCCCCCACACCCCCAATTCCGGCCCGACAAAGCATTTGGAAGAATGTAAATCACATTGATTCAATGACTCAACAGACATGGCCAGATGTCGGTGCGCACAAAGAATCTACCCACTTTGAGTATAATCCCCACATTGCCGCTACCAATGTTCAAACCTTCATCTTCTCCTAAATACTAACCAATAAGCTAAGCCTTACCTAACTAATTTGTTTAGAGGTTGCCCAAAATTTGATATAACTGAATACTTACTATTATGGGACAAGTATACCCACCTTTATTGTCAAATTCCGGGGAACAAATGTGATTTAATAATTAATTAATCTCTTTGATTACCACTAACACACTCAATAACATGGACCTAAAGATTTGACACCTGTGAAGAAAAAAACCAAGGTATTCCCGCAACCAATTTGTTGTGGAACCCACAGTTATCTAGTAGGTGAAAGTCGGCGCTGGTGTTGGCCTATACGCGATTGACAACGCAGAAATGGCCATTCAGACTCAGTCCTCCTCAGAATTTATTTACTGTGTAACTTTAGAAATAAATAAAAAAAATAACAACTCTGATGCAGCAGAGCAGGATGATACCATACCAGCTATTTCTCTAAGATGTTGACCTGGCCTGTTCATTAATGCAGCAAGCAAGCTCACAGTTAAACAGGTAGAGTGACAACTCATGTGTTTTTGATCAAATGATTTGAGGGCAGGCATATTACAGAGTTCTAGATTACTTGACATTACATATTAGACCACATGGATGCCTGACAGCTGTTATAACATTACACCAAATTCCTAAACTAAAACGGAAAATGGAGGATAGGAAATAGGAATCACTACCAACTTAGCGAGTTCTTTCCCTGCTCAACTTTGGCGCTATAACAACTTTCTATATCGCCCTGCAGAGTTAAAGCCCCCCGGTTTAGTTTCTACAAGACCTATTTGTTTTTTGCTTGATGATTACACAGCTTAAGAAACTACATCAATCATCAAAACACATCTCTAGATCCACTAGTAAGGAAGAGAGGAATTGAATATACCTTGCAGGATTTTAGCAGTGGTTGCAAGAACGATTGTCTGAAATATCTCACAGATTTCCCAAGAGAGGTTCCATCCCATTCTGGAATCAGAAACAAACAACATAAAGGCAAAATGTAAGAAATGCAGTAACTTAAAAAGCAGGAAAGAAAAAAAATTCAATCTTCAACTACTATAAAAGTTGAGAACTGTTTAAAATTTCAGTGGTTAGAATAGAGCACTGAATTGATAATCTAGATAAAGGGGTATACCGCTATCCATATCAGCTCTAAAGCCTCCCATGTTAAGTTCTCCAAGAAGCTGCATATACAACAATGGAACATTGAAGAATATAAAACACCCCAAATGATAGATAAATAAGCTTACTCCCAATGGAGGAGAAGGTTAAAAGACATCATTTTATGTGTTTTTTGAATAGTCAGATTAACTTTCTCACCCTAATGGGCAACCAATTTTTTATTGAATCCAGTGAGGATTGTATCTACAATACTAAGTAGCAATAGATACTATCAAAATAATAAAACATACCCGGGAAAGAGTTGGTGCATCAGCAGGATCAAATTCCTCACATTCCTTAGGGTCAATGGGAATGCAGACACGGCCTAGAGAAAAAGCAAAGGATCAACATGCATCCTAAAAGATTATACAGACCAGAAAACATATCTGAAAATGAGGGAAGATCCAAGGATTCAAATGTTGTATGTTCAACCAGGAAAATCCATCATGATGCTATAATGCTCGTGGCAAAAGAAAATCAACACAAGGAAATTAAAAAATTAAAAATAGAACCTGTTTGGGGATGCACACAGAATGGTGCTTTCAGTAGATGATTCAAGTGTCTTGAAACCTGGATGTTGCTTGCACATTAGGGTTATGGACCAATATATCAAAAGGATACAAAATATAAGTCAATCCTATTTTATTGCTTGGAGAAAGTATCATATCTTAATATCCTGCAATTGCATGTAGAAAAAAAGAGATCAAAAGGTTGAATGATGAGAAAATAACCTCCATATCAAGCCTGGGGTAGGTAAAAGAAAACACAATCTCTTCAACACATCTACGAATCCCCTGGGCCTGAAATTTTAAATTACAGTGGATTCAGAAAAACAGCAATCAACCTGAGCATAATAGAAACTCGAAAGAAAATGTGACAGCTTGAATTTGATGAGCTTTTCTAAAAGAGAATAAGTGTTTTCAACAACAGTTATGCAGATTGCAGCAGTAACATTGTCACACTAAAGAGTGGGGAAATAAAATAAAAAAGTTGACAATAGGTCAGAAATACAAGATATATGTTCAAGTGGTTTTAAAGAGAATGTTGACCTGAAGTATATACCTTGTGTTTACCAGATTGCAGGAGATGTTTTAGTTGTTCCCATCTGAAAACATTAATATCATCTTTCACACGTTTGTTTTCCTGCCACTTTGCCCGGAGCTCAGATACAATATCTGCAAAAATCACCTTCAGTTTATTCAAAAATAAATGAAAAGTAGCTATAAGGTTCTTTGTAACTGGAGATTGATTCGTGAAAAAGGTAAACATCCATACGCTCATCAGGAATCATTTCCAGTATCTTCTCACATCTTTCCTGGCTCGAGAACAAATTTTGACTCGAAAGCAATTTGTTCTCAAAAGAATCCCTTAAGACTTCTGTGTATGATCTCCTACAGAGGTTTAATGAGACTTAAAAGAGAATGGAGCTAAACCTAAAATCAGGAAGAAACATATAACATAAAACAGAGATAATCACTCTTACACTAGGAAAGGGTGAAGTGCAGGACCCATGAGAGAAACTTTTCGATTGCTATTCTCATTGCCCTGAAATTTCAAGAAAATTTTCTGTAATTCCATATGGTATCATTAATTTTACCACTGCCATCAAAAACAGATTTAAAGAACCTTGTAGACACGAAAGTAATCAGCAACAGCAGCCCTTTGTTCATTATTCAACCTGGTCATAATATAGCAGTTAAGATTACATTCAAATTTGCAGAAAATTGCGACATAATGATTAAATTTACAGTTCCCCATGTTGCAGCATCACCTTCTAGCTTTTAGATCACAAACCCAACAATGGACACCACGCCGGCCGCTGTACACCCAGAGAATGTGATTGAATCCAAAGTCCTCTGTAGAAAAAACATATGAATCTAGATTTGTATTTCTGCACATCATTGTGTTTGCATATAAAACATGTGCCAAAATAGTGTTGGACCATATTATCAAGTAAATTAAACACAGTTCAGTTATTGTTCACAACTAATCTACAAGAATGAAAATGAAATGAATTGAAGACATTGAAAATAACAGCAAGGCTTTTACACTGTTAGATGACTGGTGTCAATATAGACTAAAACAGAATTAACTCTTATCTGATTGAAAACCACATCCAATTAGAAGCACAAAGCTTCAAGTCCTCAACAACGAGCAGAGATGGTTTGTACTTCGTAATTATCGTGAACATGTCAGGTAAAGTGTATATTTTAACAATTGCTATAGAAAAGAGCATGTAAGAGA